CCCCAAACACAGATTTCAACAGTAAAGGCTCATCTGCAGTTCACAACCAGTTTACAGAGGCCTGAAGCATTGAATGAGAACAAATGAAACCTCTGACCCTGCAGGATCAGTGTTCAGCTCCACAGCAACCAAAGTGGCTCTTTTTTTTATTGCTGTTGTTTGTACCACCGAGGAGGTGTCAACACCCAAGATCATATCAAAGACAGATGAAAAAGAAGTAAAGAAATGGAATAAAGGGAGATGGATGTGAGCGGAAAAGAAGGATGATAAAAAGAAAAGGAGAAACAAGATGGTAAAAGACAGTCTCTGTGTTGGTGCACCACATCTATCCTATTAGTTAATGTGTCACTCTAACACCAAACAGCTAGTGACAGAGAGTACCCCCCACCCACACACACACACACACACACACACACACACACAGAGAGCTGCCTGAACAAATACTAACACTGACTAGCAAGGCTGCACAGAGAAGACCAGAGCGAGAAAGGAGAGGAAAAATGTAGGGAAGGCCATCTGATAAATCAATGATAGGACAAGAGCAAAGATCAGTAACAGAGGAACTCACCTTTACAGAGAGGATGAAAGAAGACAGGATTATTATTAAAGAGACGGAGAAGGGAAAGCAGCACGTACGGCCAATCAAATGATGAAACCAAAGGGGAAAAAAAGATGGAGCTGATAAAATGTCAGAGAAAAATGAGACGCTTTGAAGGCGAAATGACCTGTTACAGGTGCAGCCTAAATAAATAACTCGCTGCTGCACAATGATAAACAATCACATTTGATTGATAACAGTCCCCATGATGTGCGAGATCTCTAATAACCTCATCAGTATGTTCTCCCTTAGGTTTCAGAAGAAGGCTGACAATCGAATCATATCTGCACCGTCTACCTCTAAATCATTGCTGGGCCAACTGGGAGTGATGGGACGAGGTGAAGGGAGGGGCGACGCCATGTAACCAGGTTAGTTATCGAGACTGGCAGCTTTGGGCAGCAGGATAATGAGCTACTGTAAGAGCAGAGCTGTAGGCAGACACCGAGCTCATAAAGTAGCTTTATGTGTATATGGGTAGTACTGGAGACGTACCCTCAACACAAATGAGAAGAAAAGTCAACTCCCTGCCAAAATAACACATTAGCACATGGATGAGTAAACTTGCAGTGTGACTCCACAAAAACACATATAAAGACAGAGAAGCAACAAAATCTGTAATGGTCTTTGTTTTGATGCCCCTGTGCTTGGTCTGAATGTGAAAATTAGCACTTGTGTAACATCTTTGTGGTATGTTATTTGTTATTTTACTCATTTAATAAATTGAACAAACATTTTCACACTACAAGAAAAATATCCAGTCCAAAACATGACAACGTTTAACTGAGACAAGTCTTCCTAAATTAAATGCTGAAAGAAAACTATTTACCACCACAGCAAATTTAACAAGTATGTAACAGCTATTGGCCACATGTCAAAATCCACAATAAGGCAGTGCCATTTTAGAATCCAGTGTTTCCGTCAGTCACGGTGGCCTGCAGAGTCAGCTTTAGTGCCGCAGTAATCTCTGAGTCCATGTTTTGTAAGGGGGGGCCACAGGTATCAGATTGGTGCTTCATATCTACAGACGCTCTGAGCTGAGATACAGTATATCTTTGTCAGGAGGGATGTAGATAGGTCAGCCTTTTCCTAATCTTCTATCAGTCATGTCAAGAAATATCCATGTAGAGTTGAACTTAACTCACATACAGTCAGGGTGAAAAACACCTAACCACAACCCACATTATCCACTTGTTATTGTTTTTGCTTTAGAACAATCTGGATGCAGGTTACTGAGAGTGAGAAAAGTAATTTAATACTGTTTGTGATTTTGTTATAGGCCCCGTCAGAATGCTCCATGCTGTGTTCTCAGATTACATTTGAGATTTGCAGCTCACTGTGAACATTACTTTAGATGGTAGACATTTAGTTGTTTAGTACTCTTAGCTCCATCTATCCGTCCATTTTTTCATCCACTTAATGTATGTAGGTCTGCGTTGTGGTGGTCGCAGACTCAGGAAGATAGATCAGATATGATTAGCAAAAGGCATGCTCCACCTAGACCTAGGAGATCCCCAAAACATTCCTCAGGTCAAGAAAAAGCCACCCAGTGTTTATCTGCATGCTCTCCTCCCAAGCCTACCTCCACAAAGGGCACAAAGCTTCCCTTTTCCAGGTGAGGCTGCTTTTTCCCACTGCCTGTCCACACACGTCTCTGAACTGCTTTTGGTTTGGCCCCTCACAAGAGACAAGTTTGCCTTGGGAGACCCTACCAGGAGATGTATCGGGACACAAAAGTCCTTCAGATTGGTACCTTTGACAGGGTGGGTATGGGGTGGCCAGTCTAGGGCACAGATTCAGAGAGGGATGGCGCATTTCAAATAAATATAAAAAGTAGGAAATAATAGACCATACATTATTACAAATCTAATTGTTTATTTCTTTGTAAAAACTGAACACACAGAGCTTTCTTTAGCTAACGTGGGCCATGTTTCTTATTTAATCCAGGCTGAGGACAGGACCCTTTTCAATGAACGCAAATATCATGCTGCATGCATGATATAAAATAAAATGAATTTGACCAATATCAATTATAAAGCAACAGAAAAAGATTTGCTGTATTTAAGGGCACAATTTGTCATTCATACTGACACGTCACTTTGTAAGTCTGTCAGAGGTGGCACCAGAGGTGGCCACTCAGGCTCTGAGAGTAGCCAACGCCACCACCCCTGAAGCCTATCCCAACCAACATTGGGCGAGAGGCAGGGTACATCCTGGACAAGTTGCCAGTCTATCACAGGGCTGACACTTGGAGAATCTGAGAGACAGACAACTTCAAGCACACACCCCCACACTCACTGTATAGGCAATTTAGACAGAAAGGCAGTGGGCCAGCCCAGGCTCGAACTGGGACTCCTCGAGCTCTGAGGGAACACAGTCAACCACCACACTGCTGTGCCACCTGTTTGTATAAATTCATTTCTCCAAATTGAAACTGGAACTCCAAAGATTTTAATCCCTTGCAGAGGTAGATTTGTACTATTGCTTGTATAACTCAACAGGCCTGAAGATGTGATCTGGGTCCTGGGAACTCATTATGGGCATTTTTTTAAATAAACAAATCATAAAAAAATGGGCAGACTAATCAGAACTGCAGCTCTCCTGCACACTGGTTCAAAGCTTTTATAAAATTGCACATGTATCCTGCACTGTGTTGCTGTAATGTACTGCCCAGACCCATTGAGACATCGCCATGAGATTCCTGAAGCTGCATTAACTTCAGCCTGTAAATGGAAAACAATATTCATCTAGTGCTGATGGGAAATAACAGTCTGTGACTTGCAATCTACTTCAGTTTTATTTGGTTCGAGCTGCCTGAAATCGGTCTGGCTGGAGCTGCTCCGGTTGCAATTTCTCAAACATGAAAGATATGATCAAAAATAATAATAGAAAATAGAATAAGCAGCTGACATGCAATTTCTGTCAACCCTGAATGGTTTGGCTGAAAACTGGTTGAGATTTCTCACTGAAGCTGGTGGGAAAGATTTTGGCTATTTCTGTCTCTGGATTGTACAACTACATCCCTCCAGCACTGTGAGGAGGCTGCATGGCAGGCTGGAGACATGCCTCTCTGGAAGGCACACACAGTTGGTAGTGCTGGGCTGTCTCCCTGGAGGCCAGTTCAAGGCTACATCTCCACTGAAAACTGAGGAGCTGTAAATTGTTTCTCCTTCCCATCTCTCCTCAGTTTACAGCCAATTACCCAGACTGGACAAAGGCCCCTTCACCACAGCGCACACGTTCATGTAGGCCTATACAGTATAGCTCAAACGCAGCATCCCTATGGAGGATAGCACATAACCAGTAATGCATCCTCTCATTTTATGTCAAACACATCAGTAAATGGCTGTGAGCAACACTTAAAGTAGTTTAAAAACTACATGTGTGTGTGGATACTGCAACTCTCAAGAGGTCAACGGGATTTATTTTCGTGATTTGAGAATAAAGGGTTGAGAGACTAATTGTGACAGGTCACAATGCAGACATTTAACAGGTGAAATGGGCGAGCTGGGGTCAATTTCCCACTCCAATCACACAGTAGACCGGTTTGATCTCTGACATGAGGAGAGAAGCTGCTGAACTGATGTGCGCTCCGCTCCCCCAAGTCCCCACACAATAATTACGCATACAGGCGCAACAAAGCACCCAACGAACCACGACACATAAAAACGCACATATTACTGACAAGATAAAGTCTGATCAGGGAAGAGTTTTACCAATATTTAGAGGCCTGATTGTCGACAACAATACACAAGGTTGTAATTAGACTTTAGAATGTCTTATATCATTCATGTCTGAATTAGAAACGCTGTTTATTTACCTACCTAAGACCTGTTTTGTGGGAGCTATGCCCTCTGGTTGCCCCGTCATTTTAACACCGATGACACATTTTCACATAGGCTTTATAATTTGCAGTCCAACTCTAACTGGATAAATACATCATTTAATTCTGAAAGATTATAGAAAATGCCCAAATTTAGCACTGATACCAAATGAATGGCCCTATGGAGATTAAATGCCATTAAGCACAGTTTCTATCCGCTAAAGCCCTCCACACACATCCTGTATTTGCCTAGGAATTACTTAAAGAACATAAGCGGAAACATCAACCTGGTTTTTCATTGGGAGAACGACAAGAAAACGAGTAACTTTTCCCCCCAAACACATGAAATCATTCACGTCAGTCGTGGCTACTTTATTCTTCTTTACATTATGATTCTTGGTAGCAATATGCGTCTAAATCCAAATTCCAGCCTCCATCAGACCCCTGAGGCACAACTGTTGCTCAGCCAGCGCACCCTGCGCTCTAGGAAAACGCTTTCGTATCATCTGAAAGCGATTTCCAAAAGCACATATTCACAGAATGGGCCGCTGCTGACCGCGTAAGAGCCAAACTGTAACTTACATGTCTAAGTTCTTGCATGCGGTCCTTCATGGTTCCCTCTTTTGCCGGTAAACCACTCTTATTTCCTCGGCTCCGCTGTTTTCAGGATGTGCGTGGTGATGGAGCGGCGGGGCGGAGACCGACAGGATGATGTGAGACCGACCGAGGCGAGGAGGCGCGTCTGACGGTGGTGGGAGGCGATGGTTTTTCCCTTTGGAAGCTGGGATGGTGGGGCCACTTTACAGAGCCGAGTGACGCGCACGAAAGGTGAGGTGAGGCCTTCCACTGTTAACCCATTAAGAACCTGCAATCCGCACTGACTTTTTTGAGCATGGACTTGTTCTCCAAGTTTCCTTGTGGCCCGTTAACGTCAGCACAACCGACTGAACAGGTTCACATAGAAATGACCGCGTTTGAGCGGCTGCGTGAGAGAGACGCACTGTTTAATCTGGCTATCGACTGAGCGGGCTCACAGATAACGCCCAGATGATTTGGTTCGTGCCAAAGCGCACACCGACCTCTGTCGGCCACGGAGTGCAGGCGTTTCCCGAAATCTTGTGCAAGTTGAGTATTTTATACTTAGATTGGCAAAGGGAGCGGCGTGACAGTTTACTCACATCTGTGTTTAAAGCTCTGGTTAAATATATACTAATATATATTCTTTTGTGTGATATTTTCATAGGAACACATTTTAAAATATATTTTAAAATTTACTGTATTTTGTTTTATCCAATGTGGTGATGGTGGGGTTTACTGGAGCCAATCCCAGATGACACTGGGCGAGAGGGGGCTCCACCCTGGACAGATCGCCAGTCTGTCACAAGGCTGACATGTAGATAAACAACCATACATACACGCACACTCCTACGGGCAATTTAGAGTCGCCAGTCAACCTAAGCTCCATGTCTCTGGAGTGTGGGAGGAAGTCACGTTGGGGGCTCGAACCCAGAACTTTTTGACTAGGAGACGATCACTGTCCACCAAGTCAAATCCAATATTTTACTTGCCCAAATATAAAAAGACTAAAGATCAATTCAAAATCTCCCTATATCAGCTGTCATCATGCCTTTTTTGTTATGTTATTCTCTTATTGTTCAGTTAATAACAATGGTATACACAGAGAACTTAAAAAAACCTTTCCAGAAAAGATCTAGGGATAGCTGCAGCAGCGATCTATATTATTTCATTTCATTCCAACGCCCATTTAATTCCATTTTCCACCTATGTGTGATGTCCTTTTTCTACAAACTTTTTATAATCTTCATCAGCTACATACTACATGTAGCTTTACAGTGTACATTTTGTAACAAGACTGAGACAGTGAGGTTTTAACAAAAACAGAATTAGAGCAAAGCAGAATTTCTTCTATATTCTAGACAACAAAAGTGCACATTAAGTCTATAAGAATCTTTGTTTTAATTCTGAAAGTAATGCAGACAATACAATAAACAGCTAACCAGAAATTGAGACATTTGATAATTTATTCAAAATTTGTTTTAACTCTGACACTGTTGGCGTTGTCAGCGCCAACTCTGCCTTCACTATTTTACATCAGCAGCAGCCAGTGCACACCTGTGTGTCTCCAGCCAACATGAACGCGGCCAGTTCAATCTTACCACCATTTGACCGAACAGAGAAGCAGCTGATCGAAGGAGCATTTCACTCTCGCATCTCATCTACTTGGATTAAAGCATTAGGAAATTAAGGTCCAACATTCTGCTGCTCCAGAGGTGACCGTGCGTGGGGCAGTGCAGGCTAATGAAGGCACAGCTGCATGAGTCAGAGCTAGAAATGAGGTCTTCTCTGACGTCCGGTGTATTTAGTGTCGGCTCGAACCTCCCTGCAGGGCAACAAGCACAGCAGGAAGAGAGGCGGCATCAGTATGTGTTATAAAATACAAGTCAACAGAGGTGATTCAGCTAAAACTAAAGTAGATTACAGTTTTCATAGCCAGAATATCTCAGTACAAGATGTTATATTATTATTTGTCCTGTAGAAGTTTAAACCACAGCTATGTACGTACCGTCCCTGTCTTCTCCTCCTCTCCTTCTTCTCCAAGATCCAATCTCGGCCCTTCTTCACTGATTTGCCTTTCATGCTCTTGAAGCGACATCTTCACAAAGACAAAGTGTAGCTGATTAGCTTGTTTATAACATGCCTCGTTCTGCACCACAACACATCTCTGATGGAAAATGTCTCACATCCAATATCTCTGTTAACCGGAAGAAGCAAATTTATCATTATGTGAAAGGGAGGAAAACCTGCCTGACAGGGTTTTGAGCCAGGCAGGACAACGACCCTTTGTGAGTTTGCTCTCGGTCATTTGGCTTCATAAAGACAAGGTATGGCTGACCCTGCCCATATCAACACCGAGACCTGTTTACTACCCTAACAGCAGGAAACAAACTGAATGGTTTTAAACTGCTTATTAAATACTAATCAGTAACTAAATAGGGATTATCCTAATGATTATTTTTAATAAAAAGTCCAAATTCCAAAAGATAGAAGATGAAGCAACAAAACCTTACATTTAAAAGCAAAAAGAAACAAATCTGTTTATCAAAAGTCTAAACCCAGTTCATTTTCTGTCAAGAAATGAATCAATCAGTAGAGTCAGTGCTATAAGATTATTCACTCAATCCAGCTACTATTAGAATAAATCTTTGGAAATTTTTAATCACGCAGACGATAAAGCCCTTTAATCAATACTGTGAGGAAGCTGGCAGACAAAGCTGATGTAAATGCACAACACAACATCTGGTGCTGAAACCATCCCAGTTTATCTACAGCAGCCAAAAATGATCAGTCTGCTGTAAGCACAGAAAGAAAAAAACAAAAACAATTATAATATTCTATCAATTCTCACCGCGGTCGGCATCTGTAGCTTTCAAAATAAAATGCACCAACAAACAAATAAATCCATATAAACTCTGTGAGTGAGTCAGACTGTGCATCATCCCACCATGCTGATGAATTACAAAAACAACACCCTGCGGCCACTCGCCGCCATCTTAAATGAACGTATTTATTTCCTGGATCCAAGAGACAAACTCTGCTCAACTACTCCTTCCCCACTGAGCCTATTACACCAAACTGCAGTGGGGACCAGGTCATAGTTAGTCTCCTGTGTGACTATCCTTACCTTTGTCCCGAATACTGGACCTGGTTTGGAACAGCTTTGTCTGACGTTTCTGATCCCAATCCCTGAAATGAACAAAACAAGATCAGTCATCCTAATGTAGCTAACACAAACCATCCAGTCCACAACATCCACAGCTAATTCTGGAGTTTCTTACCTTTGGAAGGACTCCAGTCACTCCAGCAAACAGACACAAGAAGAACCTGGAAACAAACAAAACATGCATGTGTGTGTGTGTGTGTGTGAGGGTAAATCAAGCAAACCATCTTAATGTGTAATGATTCATCACCAGGCTAATGTGACAAACAGTTGAGTCATCTTGTTCTAATTAGCCTCATGTTGCCAGTGCACTGCTACTAATTTCACAGGCTATTAAGAAAGAATCAATTGCAGATGACTGAAGTTGAACCTGTCAAAATAAAAGCCCCCGCTCCTGATAGATACTGACTTTTTAGCCTTGCTGCTGTTGGGGTAATCCACCACCATGCCCCCACTGAAACCTGCCCTCATGGCCTGTGATGTGATCAGCTCAAGCTTTGCAGATGGAAGAAGAAAACTGGTGTTAAGTAAAGGAATGAGGAAAAAACATTAGATTTTACATCAGATGGGTTTTATTTTATTTTATTTTAGTTTGTTTTACCTGTTCTGAATTTTCTGGATAAAGCTGAAAAACTGCGCGTGAGCCCCTTGACTGACAAAAAGAGCCGGGAGAAGTTAGCAAAGGTCTTCAGCATAAAATATGGATGTTTGAATGTTTGTCAGTGAGGTGATAAAGCTTACCAAAGAGGAATACAGAGTCCTAAAGAAGGTATAAAGTCTCTTTGGCGGACTGTGTGTCCTTTTGTCGGCATTACAGAGCCACTGCAAAGCAGAGATGCTGACAGGAAATCAAGCATGAGGTAAATGACAACCCAAGTCCGAAACAATTAGCAGTTAATCCAGAGGAAACATGAGCCTGATTTGTTTTTCACCTGATGCAACCGTCAAAGGTGCCAGGTCGGAAAGGCATCCCCTGCCCCATGTCTCCTAGTAAAAGGTCTCCTTCTACTTCTCGCTCCAGTGCAACATCTGTCACAGGAGAATGTTTACATTTCATCAGTGTTTCATCAGTTTAGCCACATCTCATTTTAAACTAAATGCACAATTCATTGAATAAACAAACCCTAAAAATATGAAGAATTATGGTTATTTTGTTAAAATGTCACTCAGAGGAATGAGACAGGAATATTTTAGAAAAACTATTCAATGGTTTTACACAGTATTGGCATAAAGGACTTTGAGTAATCAGTGCTGGTATGACAAAAAAACACAAAGAGATGCTAACTGTTGACTTCCTTCAGCTACAATTTTCAAAAATATGTTATTTTTTCTAATTTATTTTTTTTTATGTAACAATGTCAAACTAACCCAGCATTGCAGTGCTGATGTCTACTCCAACCCAGTAGTGTCCCTCCTCCGTTAAGTAGTCTCCACTGAGACCAGAGCCACACCTGTGAGACAGAAGACAAGACAGTCACCTGAGTCCTGACATCATGAACACACTAATTATTCACTTTAAACTACTCTAGCTCAGGAAGTTCAACTTGCTCCACAAGCTGCTGATACAGTTCTACAGATGAATCATCAAGCCTGTTCTCTACTCTTCCATCATTGTCTGATTTGGTTCAACAACCAAACAGGACAGGAACAGACTCCAGCGAACAGTCAAGAATGACGAGAGAGTCATCGGTGCCAGCCTGCCCTCCATGGAGGACCTGTACACCTCACGGGTCAAGAGGAGAAGATTTCTGCAGACCCCTCACACCCTGGACACAAACTGTTTGAACTCCTCCCCTCTGGGCGGTGTTACATGTCACTGTACACCAAGACAACCAGACACAAGGACAGTTTCTTCCCCTGGGCTGTCACTGTGATGAACACTGAACTCATAACTGTATAATGGAACAACAACCCTCAGTGCAATACCTTGTAAATATACCTTATACTCAGAGACTGTATTAATCAGATTTAATAGTACAGGTAAACACAGTATCACTCACTCACCCCACATCTAGGAGGAAGCAGGGCTGTCTCTCTGGCAGGTTCAAAAGCTCCACAGCTCGTTCTGACATCTGGGTCTGGATCTCAATCATTCGAGAGCTGTGAGGCAACAAAACACACAGAGATTCAAGTTACATTCCAATATGTGACTTCTGGCATTGATAAGACATTTTAAATAAACACGCAAACTCAACCTTCACACATGGATTTAGTAAACATTAATCTACACAAAGTTCACACAGAGCAGCTTGTTACTGAGTCCAGTAATGGTATGCTTATACATTTAAAGGCTAAACCCAACCTACAGTACCACCATGATGCCTCATTAGTTTTTATTCTAAAGCATCTCTTGATTCTACATGTAATAGACAATGACTAGAATAAAAATAATTCAATAATATAATTAGCATTATTCTGAAATGGTCCACTGAGTACGTATACTTCTAGTATTTTAAGTATATTTTTGATGCCAATAATTTTACTTAAGGAAAATGGTTCATCTAAGAACTGTAATAACTAATTGTAACAAAATGTTTCTCTGCTGTAGTACTGCTCTGAATACTTCTTCCATCACTGACACACACAGGGAATGTGAAATCCAGACTCACTTCTGAGAGTATTTTTTTGCCTCCTCTTCATTGTAGAACTGCGGAGATGATAGCACGTCAAATTTATAATCAATACTTCAACAGATTGCTCAATAACAACGATGCTACCGGTCAGAAGCTAACTCCACCGTGGCTCGTTTCTGGCTGTACATGACACGAACTAATTGTAACGTCACCAGTTTAAAAAAGTAACAATTAAACGGTTAGGCAACTGTTCAGTAAACAACCATTCATCTTGCTTCTTAAATGCCGGTGTGCTTTAGATGAAGACACTTTAAAAAATCCTCAATACTCTGGCTGAAGCTAACTGTTAGCCTAGCAGCTAAAATAACAGAATAACCCGAGTCACCGACCACATCTGGAGGAGCTGTGTGCTCAGGGCGTCGACAGCTGGAAGTCATATTTCTCTGTGTGTACGCGTGTTGATATCTGAAGATGACCAATTAATTTGTGATTTCAGTCTATAAACAACCTAACTGTTGTGTTTTCAGAAAATAGACTGTCCACATGTGACTCCCGTATACGCCATTTACAAGCGACAAACAATTTCTTCTTCGTGGAGTTTAATAATAGAAACACAAAGTAAATAGTTTTACATCGCCACCTACTGTATATCCAATAAAACTACACTTGTTATTGTTAATCTTCTCATAATAACAGTGATCATCATCTTCATTACCAATACCATAATTTTTGTAAGACACATTTCAAAACTCAAAATATAAAATTCTTAAAACAAGACAGCAAAATAAAACAAATCAAAATTATCAGATACATTTAAAAATCATAATAAATAAACAAACAAAAGACAAATAGGTAAAATAAACACATCAGTACAAACATTTGAACGAATGTTAGACTAGAGACTATTGTATATTTGTTATATGTGGAGTAATGCGCCTAACTGCTCTTGAATGACAGAGGAAGAAGACGAAGGCTCCTATTGGCTCCTCGCCCTGTGACGCAGCGGATGCTGCGGTTGATTTCCGGCTTGGTCCCCGGTGGTGCCTTGGTAAAATGGCAGAGGTCAGCCGGAGGCTGGGAAGCGGAGTTAACCGACTGTCCGCCCTCAGAAAGCGTCGACGTGTGTGCACCGGGGATCGTCTCGGATATGTGCCTTTAAACTGCAACTTCAGAGACAGGGTCAAACAGGAATCGGTCGAAGATCAACGTGACGTTCAGTCAGTGTCAAAACAACGCAAGTCAGATAAACTTTCCAGAGTGACAAAAAGTAAAAGTGAACAGGAAAATGGGTCTTTGTTTTGTGCCACATCTTTGGGGTGGGATTCATCCCGTTTTGTCGGAGTTATTCAAAGTAGAGAGCCCTCTGAAGGACTGCAGCCTCTCTTCCAGGTGAAGCAGCTGACTTCTAGGATGACACCCTGGACCAGAGGGGCCCTTTCCTCCCACCTGGAAAGCTTCAGGTGCCCACAGCAGCTCAGAACCTTCTGCACTGTCATTTCAATTCTAGCAGAGCGAGATTCAGTGAGGCCGGGTTGTGGACAGAGACTGAGGAGGCTGAAACTACACCCTGCTCCATCTACAGCAACTAGAAGCTACAGCTGGAGGAGTGGCAGCAGCTCAGAAACTGCTACTCTGCTGTACAGAAGCAGGACGACCTATTATGACATTCTCAACGTGTCCCCTGATGCCACACAGTCCCAGATCAAGACAGCTTACTACAAGCAGTGTTTTATTTACCACCCGGACAAGAACCCAGGGAATAAGGAGGCCACCCGGCGCTTCTCTGAGATCAGCGAGGCTTACATTGTCCTGAGCGACCTCAGCCTGAGGAGGAAGTACGACCGGGGCATTCTGGGCCAGTCAGACATCCAAAGCGCAGGGAAACCGTCCTCCAAAGAGAGTGTGAGCAGATCCACAGGCTCCTCGCAGCCGCATCAGCAGAGTGCCAGACGGTTCTCTGGAGCCGGAGGAAAGCCTGTGTATAATTTTGACGCCTTTTATCAGGCTCACTACGGGAAGCAGCTGCAGAGGGAGAAGGAGCTGAGAGCCAGGAAGGCGCGCATGCAGAAGGAGCAGAAGGTGAATCTCAGCAGAAGGGACCAGCAGAAAATAATGGAGGGGACTGTGGCAATGCTTCTGGCCATGGCAGGACTGATTTTTATCAATCTCCTAAAGCCCTGAAATAGAAGCAGCACCCAGACGAGTCCGTTCTGGGGCTGCATGTTAAGACTCTCTAGGATGTTACCTCAGACTGCTTTGTAAGTGTTGCACAGTTTCTGACGGTTGGAAATCATTTTTTACTATGGTGCAGCAATAAACATACTGTAGGTGTGCTCATTTTAAGTTAATTTAGTTTATCAATGATCCTAGTAAGTATATAGATGTCAGGGTTGACATCTCACAGGAAGAAGGGTCCAGGTGTGATCCCTTCTGTTCGACTGGAGCCTCAGTCCAGAGTCCAGAGACATGTGACGTAGGGCAGCTGGTGACTGTAAATTGCCCCTAGGCATGAATGATTGTCTAAGTGTCAGCCCTGTGATAGACTGGTGCCCTGTCCAGGGTGTACCCTGCCTCTTGCCCAGCTGATATTAACTCCAGCCCCCTTGCAACCCTCTACAGGATAAGTGGTATAGATTACCCGGGTTTTTTGGGGAGGGGGAATCTGAACACATCGAAATGATCTCAGGGTTGCAGCTGGAGGCCTGCAGGGTTCAGTGACTTTAAACTGTGTGGGAGGACACTGGCGCATGTTGTGGAGGTCTCAGACTGCACAGAGCTGTTGTAGACAGTATGTCTGTTTATTTTGTCAGAGTTGTGTGAAAATGCCATTTAGCTGAAACATCAAAGTTGGGAAATGTCTGGAATTATGTTATGAGTCTTTAAACTGAAGTGATCGATACAAGTCAAGCACTTGAAACTATGATCTTTGACTAAGTGTACAGTTTGCAGTAGGGCCTAATTATGGAATTGTGTTTTATTGAATATAAACTGAAACAAAAGAACCACATGTGACATTTCTCACCTTTACCAATAATAGAGGTGAATGAAGAGAACAGAGGCAGTTGTACCTCAACAGAGAAATGCTGTAAATGCGTAATCAGATTATGTTTGTAACACTAAAGATGTTTGACTTTTATGAGCCTTTAATCTCTGTTTCAGTCTGAGCCCCCTACACTGTGACATCTCCAAGTGTATAACTGCAGAAAACAGTTTTTTCACATTTTATTCACAGAAATATAAAGTAGTATGTCAAGTACATCACTTTGTACAAAATTGCACAGACTCTTCAAAACTCAGACAACAGAAATTTCAGCTTTAAGAAGTGTTAAGAAAATAAAAGGGTGGCATGGGCAATCTGTGATATGTGACAGGTTCCAATGAAAATGTTTTATCAAGAAGAATCAATCTATTGTACATAAATAAGACTCAATAGGCAAAATGTAATTTACAACGGCTGAGGAATAAATACGTTTCAAAAATAGGGTTCAAATTGGCACATGAACTGCTGCATCCACTCCTCAACTGAAACCGAAATTTCACCTTTGAAGCTAAATGGCCATGCTTGATAAAACTGACACTAACTCTTGATATGTTTATTCCAACTGAAGAAAAATGTTGCATATATCTAAAATATTAGCATTATATACAGTAGTTTGCTTGGCTGCTTGCTGCCTGTCTGCAATGACGATTTGCATTTGAGAAGTACGCTTATTCGCTATCTTGCCAAGAGTTACATGAGAAGACGGGTAGCATTCTATGAACTGTAGCCTACCATAAACATGAAGCTACTGGTGATTTAGCCGAGCACAAAGATTCCTGGTTCTTGTTCTGTCCAAAGGTAACAGTCTGTCTACTAGAACCTCTAAAGCTCATGTTATGTCTTGTTTGTTTAATCTGCAGAAAAACCTAAATGTAAAAAGGACGAACCTGTGCTTTATGGGAAGTTTTGTGCCAGCAGACTATTGTCCAGTCTCCACCAATTACCTGGCCACTGGGCCCAACCAAGAAATAGTCCAGCACACAACGCTCGCTAACATGTTGACTTGTCATTTTTACGCTGTGGTTTCTGTACACTTCAAACTAAGGAGAGATGTGTTGATCAGTGAGCTTTAGAGGCACTAGTATGTGGATTCTGGACAGAACCAGTCTAACTGCTTTTGCTCTTCATGCTAAGCTAATTAGCCAGCTACAGCACTATGGCTTCATTATTGAGAATCATGTTAATTTCATCATTTAAGCAAATAAGCATATTTCCCACATTTTTCCTAGATTTTTTTTATTATAATGAACGTTAAGGCATCCATTCTTATAGTAACAAATATTTTATGTTAAAATTTGTACCGTTAAAAGCTTATGCTCCATATCATGTCATTGTAAAATAACGCAGCAGCATCACACCTTTCCATTCAAGCATGGTCATCTAGTACCTTTTATTTCACTACCTGTACCATTTCAGGTCAGACCCATAAGTTGGGCCTGCAGGCCATGCAAACAGTACAAAATACTGCCACCACTCTGAAACACAACTCCCAAGTCCCTCTGAAAAATTTGGTATAATAAAATCGTCAAGGCATTATTTCAAAGTGAACTCCTACAATAACAGAATTTTGAATATAAAGGTTAGCGATAAGATGAACTTGAATACAGAACCAGTGCCAGGAACCTCAAGAACCGTGTTTGAGAAACATTACTGTAGCACACCAATCATTGAAAAACATCTGCACTCTAATACGCCACCACACATTCATACAAATGACATGGGAGCCACCCTGACAGTTGGACTACTGTTCCATTTTGAAACTGATTCATAGCATAACATATGATCATCTGTGTGTATGGGGAAGCCATCAATAAACCTTTGTGAGCTGAACCATTTCAGTGTGCAGAGATATGTGTGTTCAGTGTGGTTTAAGCAGAAACCAACAGTAAAAGAATTACCTGCAATTAATGTCTGGGCTGTTGTGATTATATGAACGGTCATCATCGTCCTCATTGCTATGGGCAACAGTCTGTTGAAGTCCGAGGGAAATGTCAGGCACTAAGACCCTTTAGGCTGTACACATTCAAGGAAAATATCTCCACACTAACACTGCCACAGGATCTCGTCTCTGCTTTTTGCAGACGACATTGTCCTGTTGGCCCCATCAAACCAGGACCTCCAGCGTGCACTGGGGCGGTTTGCAG